TCAATCTATATGAATATGTATATATAAATATATAATTGGAATATGAGTATAAGTATATAATTGGAATTGGTGTAACAGGTCCATGTCGTAGTAGACATCATCTCAAATTCAAATGAATATGAATGATTTTGAAAAGGTAAAGCTATATCTATATAAGAATTAGACTTTATCTTAATTTACAGGGCTAGTGAAAAAGCATTCGACTGTAATTGTATATCTCTAAATTAAAAAGTAAGAGCTTGAGTAATGCTCTGTCCTTCTGTACTTCTTTATATACATCCTTCTCTATGCATTCGCAAATATTGCATTTCCTGTACTAGTAATATAAATGTCAATGTCATTAAATACATAATCCTGTACCGATTCATATAAATGATCAGGTACATATATTATTTTCATAAATTTATAAATTAAAAATTATATATTTATATATATATATATATATATATATTATATATATATATATATATATATATATATATATATATATATATATATATATATATATATATATATATATATATATATATATATATATATATATATATATATATATATATATATATATATATATATATATATATATTTATATATATATATATATATATATATATGCACACTGTATGTATATTATTATATACTTATATTATAGGTGGGCATAGATTAATTTTTTTAATCTAGATTAATCTAGATTAAAATGGTTCATTTGAATTCTGCCGAAGGCAATCAGAATATGTGTGCTACCCAAATAATGACTAAAGTAAGTGTTTGAGAACGGGTTTCTCAAGCCAGGTGGCGCATTAGACCAGGGGCTCATCTCCTGTTTCCAAACTGCATCACAAACTGCTTGAGAAACTGATCTACTATGAAAACTGGTGATGAAAATAAATGATGTTCAATGAGATGTACTTGTATTTACTAACTGTTTATTCAGTTACACATGAATTTCGAACTGTAGGCCTACATAAGCTCCAAAAAGCGATTTCATACTTGCTTTTGATGTACGTACATAAAGAAAATGCTGCTTCTCAAAGCCAAATTTACAGAACCCTGACGTTGTGTCAAACATTGAGTATGTTTACATGGGCAACAATACTTTAATATGATTTTAATATGATTAAAACAATACTCTGATTAAGAGTCTACCATGTAAACAGTGATTTTTGATTACCTTAAAGCGACTTAAGTCATAACTGAAATAAACAGGAATGGAATTAAGACATGTGGAGTATGCAGATATTAGTGGCATTACTGAAGTAAACATCGCAATCAAACTATTACCGTCATGTAGGACTCTTCACCATATTTTCCAACAAGATCCACTGTCAGTAAAAGACCGCACACACACAAACACACATCGCAAAATGCAAAAGTATTTTTCTTTCCATTTGGCGTGCGTTATTAAATTCCATAACACTCTCACCAGTCCTTACTCCTTATTTGCGTCTACTACCCCAGTTTGTCATGAGGACATGAATGAATGAGTTAAAGTGAAACTGTCGAACTGCAGTTAAAGTCACCCAAAATTACAGGAAATTCTAACATGAAAGCACTTCACTTAAGGACCTTAATTATATTATTGTCTATTAAGGCAAATAACTAGACTACAGTTGCCCATGTGAGCATAGTCAGTGGTGTCTTCGGAGTAAGTGAAAGATCCAGAACGGCATCCTGCTGATTTGATCAGAAGGGCACTGTTTTGTCCGACGACTCACCGGTCAGGTATACATCCGCGCTACAACATCAAGGTGAAAGTCATCATAGCTTGCGTAGAATAGACCCAGCTCCCAACCCAACTTTGAGAATAGATTAACGGCAATATTTTTTTTATTGTGTGATAAGACATTATCGTTTAACGTTAACGCAGCATGTTAATGCCGATAACAGCCCACCACTAATATATTCATTCATTCATTTTCTTTTCAGCTTAGTCCCTTTATTAATCTGTGGATGCCACAGCGGATGACCTTCCACCTGCAACCCAACACTTACACTACGGACATTCATTCATTCATTTTCTTGTCGGCTTAGTCCCTTTATTAATCCAGGGTCACCACAGCGAAATGAACCGCCAACTTATCCAGCAAGTTTTTACGCAGCCCACCTCTGGGAAACATCCACACACACATTCACACACACATTCACACACACACTCATACACTACAGACAATTTACCATACCCAATTCACCTGTACCGCATGTCTTTGGACTGTGGGGGAAACCAGAGCACCTGGAGGAAACCCACACGAAGGCAGGGAGAACATGCAAACTCCACACAGAAACACCAACTGAGCCGAGGTTCGAACCAGCGACCCAGCGACCTTTATGCTGTGAGGCGACAGCACTACCTACTGCGCAACTGCCTCGCTGACAATACGGACAATTTTAGCTTATTCAATTCACCTATAGTGCATGTGTTTGGACTGTGGGAGAAACCGGAGCACGCCAGAGGAAACCCTCGCCAACACGAAGTGAACATGCAAACTCCACACAGTAATGCCAACTGACCCAGCAGGGGTCCAAACACATGCGTGGTAGGTGAATTAAATAAACTAAGTGTCTATAAGTGTGTGTGTGTGTGTGTGTGTGTGTGTGTGTGTGTGTGTGTGTGTGTGTGTGTGTGTGTGTGTGTGTGTGTGTGTGTGAATGAGTGTGTATGGATGTTTCCCAGTGCTGGGTTGCAGCTGGAGGGGCATCCGCTGTGTAAGACATATGCTGGATAAGTTGGCTGTTCATTCCACTGTGATCGCTCCTGATGAATAAAGGGACAAAGCCGAAGGAAAATGAATGAATGAATGAATAAAAAGCAAATATGCAAGTGCAGATGAGTGAAAATTTTAATTATTAATAAAATGAACTTTTTTGATTTTATATAAATCCTTCAAAATATTCTATATTTATTTACATTGATATTTATACAGTAGCTTTAAATTACATTTATATAAACAGGAATATATTAATATAAATATATTATTAATATTACTAATATTAATTTATACAATAAACTTATGTTAAATATGTAATGATATACATTTTGATCCTGCCAGAAGGAAAAAAAATTATATATAAAATTCAACAATTCATAAAACAAAGAAAAGCAGATAAGCGAGTGCAGACGGACGAGTGAAAGTGGACGAGACACAAATCCAGAGCAGCATTAGTGTTTTGTTCTTGGGTCAGTTTGACCTGCTGATGAGACAAAACAGACACACACACACACACTCACACAAACACACACACACACTGGCGAGCAGCAATAAAGCGCAAATCCAGCAGGAGAAACAGAGTGTGGGAGATTTTATAAGACACTGCACTTTACACACTTCCTGTTTATACGAGAGGTCAAAGGTCGATGGCTCTCATCGTTTAACACTCACCCGCGGTCCTCGCATCCCGGGCTGCCCTGGTTTACCTGGAGGTCCCGGTAATCCCTGCCAAACACAAGAGAGCACTTATGAACCAAACACAGAGGTGTGCTGATACTGCTGTCAGCCTCTATTTCAAAACCAAACACAGCGGGAGGAAACAGGAAGTCATTTGACGGAATTTCCTTCTTCTGATAATGAGCTATAGATTTACACTGAATCCCACTGTGTGAGTGTGAGTGTGTGTGTGTGTGTGTGTGTGTGTGTGTGTGTGTGTGTGTGTGTGTGTGTTTTTATGAAAAGATCCCTGTTGGCAGTTTCTATAGCTTAGAAGAGATCTAACACTCCTACAGGTATTGGAGCAGTTATTTGTTTTTGTAAAATATCTGGTCGAATGTTTTATATTTGTAAAGTAAAAGTTATTTTATTTATACTAAATATGTATTCATGACTTAAGATGCAAATATGTGTCCTTATATCTGAATATGTATAAATGGTTACTTGAAAAAAAAGTAATATTTTGTTTAATAAATAAATTAATATTAATTAAACATATTCAAAATATTTTTTATTTAATCGTAAAAACTATTTTAAATGTATAAAAAATGATTCATATTTTGCTTAATGTAGATTTTTATTAATTATACTAATCAATTAATTTATATGAATTCATTCAGATTTATTTTTTAAAACAAGTATTTTTGTTATAAATAAAAATAAAAAATAAAATAAATCACTAAGGATTTATTAGGGTGGATTATTTTACAATATTTACAAAATAGAAATAGCTATTTATAATTATTAGTATTTTTAGAATATACAATATTATAATATATTATATTATATATTTCTAAAAATACTACCTGTTATAAATAAAGTTATTTTTATTTTGTAAATATTGTGAAATAATCCACCAATTATAATCTATTGATATAAATAAAGGATTCTTATAAATATTATTTTACTTTATTTATTTATGTAGTAGAAGTTAATACATATATATATATATATATACACATACATATATACACATTTATACTTATACACATACATATATACTCACATATACAGTTGAAGTCAGAATTATTAGCCCCCCTGTTTATTTTTTTTACCCAATTTCTCTTTAACGGAGAGCAGATGTTTCAACACATTTCTAAACGTAATAGTTTTAATAACTCATTTCTAATTAGGATAATTTCTAATAATAAGATAATATATTTATCTTTGCCATGATGACAGTAAATAATGTTAGACTAGATATTTTTTCAAGACACTTCTATACAGCTTAAAGTGACATTTAAAGGCTTAACTAGGTTAATTAGGCAAGTTAGTGTGATTAGGCAAGCTATTGTATAATGATGGTTTGTTCTGTAAACAAACATAGCTTAAAGGGGCTAACACTATTGCCCTTAAAATGGTTTTTAAAAAAATTAAAACTGCTTTTATTCTGGCCAAAATAAAACAATAAGACTTCCTCCAGAAGAAAAACTATTATCAGACATACTGTGAAGATTTCCCTGCTCTGTTAAACATCATTAGGGAAATATTTTTAAAAAATAAAAAATAAATAAAAGGGAGGCTAATAATGCTGACTTTAACTGTATATATTGTATATGTTATTATTATTACTATTGTTGTTGTTGTTGTTGTTGTTGTTATTATTTTTGTTATTATTAATAGTAATAAAAACTATTTAATTTGAAACTACATATAATGAGAAAGCAGTTATTCCAAATAAAAAATAAATAAACTAACCCCAAACTTTTCACCAATAGTGAAGTTTCAAATAAAAATTATTACTCCAGTCATTATTACTTTTATTATTATTAATAATAATATTCATATTAATAATAATAATACTAACACTACTACTACTAATGATAATAATAATAATAATAACAGTAATAATAATTAATATTAGAATGATTTCTGAAGAATCATGTGACTGAAGACTGGAGTAATGAAGCTGGAAATTCATCTTTAAAACCAGTGGAATAAATGATTCAGTTAAATGATAAACTACTTTTGAACAGTTATTTTATACCAATTGTTCTGTATTTTGATGAATAAATGCAGCCTTCGTGAGCAGGAGAAGCTTATTTTAAAACCTTTCAGACCCCAAACATTTAACCAGTAGTATATATATATATATATATATATATATATATATATATATATACATACACACACACACACACACACACACACACACACACACACACACACACACATATATATATATACATACAT